ATTAATTTGATAAGCTTTGGAGTTGAATAAGTTATTTATCTTCTGATAAAGGCCTTGTATAAGCCTTAAAAGCACTTTTAAAAAAGTGATTGTAATTTTTTTTTTTATAATTCACAAAGAATTCGCGCTCTCACAGTCACAAAGAAGCACTTAAATGAAAACTCGTCGCGCTATTAATTGACTCTCTAATTAGAAGATCAGTCCAGAAAGCCCTTTGTCACTTTTTACATCATGGGTTGCTATTAGGCAACAAAATATATTCATCGAGTACTGAAACTTAACCTTCATGGAATGGATGGCTGAAGTGCACCGGGACAAGGTCAATCGATCAATGGAATGGATATATAAATGCCGTACTAATTTAATTGAGTACATTACACTATGAATGTTACGACATTTTATGCTAAAGCAAACTCCACATTGAACCCTGAACATTTTGTTATAAAATCAAAATATGAATAAACATCCAGGTCAAAATATAAAAAAATAAAGTTTTTGACACAAACATTATTTGTATTGTGCTGTAGGTAATATGTAGAATAGTATTTTGATTCAACCGCAAGAGTACAACTGATTGCTGTATACGTTTAGTGGAGTTATTAATTTAATTTATTAATTGAATAAACCGTAATTATGTTTTTAAATAACCTCTTGATCAGCATTGTACGTGTTATTAAATTTACGGAAAGTAAATAAAAGCAACGTCTTATAGCACTTAAAACATATATTTATGCTTATACTGTCACTCAAGACGGTAAATATTCATAAAAAAAATTGTAAGTGGTGATAAATTTTGATTGGACACTCCAATCATCATCAGACCCAATGACAAATGATAAAGTTTTTAATCACATCCACCACTAAACGATCCAATGATACGTGTATGTTGTTCCAGGGGGATTAAGTGTTCATCTCATTTCAAGTCAAAACAGTAGAGCACTCTCTCTCTGTAGGATTAAACTTCTACAAGCTATTTAAACTTTATATCGAGTTGTTAGAATAACGATGCTGTACGTTTTGTGGCAACAATATGTATGTTACAGGATGTTCGTGTTTAATTAATTTATTTATTTAGATAACAATATTTGAGTTATTTATAATGAGGTTAATTTGTTTTGTTATGAAGCTACTTTATGATATGAGATAAACTTTGCCATTAAGAAATAATAAATAGATTTTTGAACTATTAATATCATTGGTCACTTATTTTAACAAGAACTCCAGTTGACTAAAAACAAATGAATTCTCCAAACTCCAGGGTCTATTTAAGCTTAAGACTCATTAAAATATATCTTTAAGCTATCTCACAAAGAGAAAAAATAAAGCAGTAGTGTTTGTTGCAAGCACTTGGTGGGGCAGTAGGATATATTGCAACATATAAGGAAATTTATGTTAAGGAAATATGATTTCTTGTGGTATATTATATTGCCAGCCCCTAACCAAATAGCTATAGCACGAATCGATCGATTCAACTTCTGAGAAAAAATGTTACAAGTATGAGATATTAGCTCAACATTAGTTACCAAGTCCAGAATGATTATAAGTACGTTTAAATAGGAATTTGCATATTTTTCACTGTACAAGTTTTAATAAGGGAAGCTATTCGATATAAATAGTAAATGTTAAGTTGGTTAAGGTGGTATTTGAACTTGGATCCTTTGATCACAAGTTCCACACTTTGAGGTTAAATTGATACCATGAAATATAATTGAAATCAATTATAAATTTAAATCTACTTACGTAGTAGGTACGCCAGAAGATGTCAAACGAATCAATTTTTTACGTAAAAATAACATCGTTTGCTACCTTCTTGCATACCCATGTAAGTAGATTTAAATGTATTTGTATGTAGAACAAATGAATTTGTCGACTCTATGAAACAACAACAAAAATTAAATATACTAACATAAATGTAGCTAACAAAATAAATTCCGCACCAAGTCAAGGGGTTATTGAGATCCTGGGCAAACTGTTGCCAGCTTTTTCCTTTCTTAATATATTTTACTTATAGATGGTGTACAGAAGATAATATTATATGTTTTAATATAGACATCACCGTAATGATTAACCTATATATGTTGAGCATTGCCGGATTTACAACTAAAAGGAAATATGTGTGTAATAATGCATGTAAGCAGTATGTAAGTAAGTTTATGTATATAAGCAGTATGTAAGTTCAATTTATCCCCAACACAACATGTAATATGTTTTTCACCACACTATGGTGTTTTTAGCTGTTTTGCATACATTAATTGGTGGCTGTAAGTTAGGCTTTGCTGGCCAAGACAGCTGTTATCGTCATTTGGGTACCGAGCAGGTTTTCACATCCCTAGGGCCGCAAAATCAGCTGCCCGCTTACTTTCTTAAAACATAAGTGCATATTAAATAAACAATCAGTGTCCATAGCATTGCAATATAATTGTTTTATTGTCACCGCTGCCTAGCAACTATTTATTATTACTTTTGCTGATTCCTCAAATGATTTCTTCACATAACCTTAAAGTTGTAGTTGTGTTGACTATCAGTGTGCATTATTATTGTAGCGAATAGTGGTAATAGGACATAGTGTGGTAAAAAAATAGTAATCGCGCCACGGACCCAAATGGATTTTCCTGCTCAGGATAGTTTTTAAGTTCGAGACGAAGCCGGCAAACCTCATTTTCGGCCCTAGGTACGAAATATACTATTAAATAAGTACACTATGTATTTAAACTGCTTATTCAGCTGTGTTCTAAGTAAAAATAAAAACTGTATACAAATTTTTATTTATGTGGGGTGTCAACTTTAGTATTCAATGTTAATTATGTTCACCAACTACAAACAGCTTCCACTGTTCTATTGGTTATTGAGTCTGTATCAAGTCAGCCCTCTTTATTAAAAGTTGATCATTCATGATTGGGCTAAGACCCTCATTAGGAGCAGCTTTGTTCCTAGCATCTGCTGATCTCCTCTCAGTTTTAATCAACTTTATTCATTTTTAACAATGGTTATTCGAACAAAAAGGATGAGTTTTACAATTGCTGCTTATATAATAGGTTTCTGATTTTTAATTAGCTGACTCCATCGGCTGGTAACTGTTTTACTATTTTAGGCCTCACCAAAATTTACTTTGAAGTTAAGAACTTATTTGTGTTGTTGCAAACATAAATGTTAGAGGAGACATAATTTTTGGACCCACAGATTGGTATGGGTAAGGATTCTATAAAAATAATCTACTTTAATAATCCACCGCAAACCTGCAGACTAAGAGAATTTCCATTTACCTGGCTGGATTTTCACTCGAATATTCCCTTAAAATATATACACGCTTACACATATATACACACATTTGAACGAATGGTATTTTTGGTCTCTCGGGAGCCCACAACAGGAAATTAAATCGGCCCCGAACTTAGGTCTTACCATGAGACTTACGGTAATAGCTTATTCCCTAAATGGGAAATTCTCTAACAAGTAACTTTAATATTTAGTATATTTTCCCTGGAATTATATCCATAGTGACATCATAACATGTTAGTACACTAAACACTTATACATACAGAGTATTCTACAGACATCTTGTTACTAAAACAATTTATTTTAACTGTGAACAATACAAACCAACACACAAATAATAAGTAAGTAATGTTTTAAGAAAGAAGTAGACCAACTTTTATCTTGTTGGTTTGGAAGTATAAATGATTAGACAACGTAAATATTTTGAAATGGGATTTGATATGCATATCACAAAAAAACAACAATATGTAAGCCAAAAGCTCCTAACAATGAGTTTTGTATGGAAAACAATGGTATGTGAAAGAGTCCGTTTTATCGATAACTTTGCAATTCCGCTAGCTTAGCATTCGTCTGACGTCATTTTGTGATTTATTTTATTATTAAAAACCTTTTAATCGTGCAAAAAAATATACATAAGCCTACAAATCTACAACGTATATAGAATGTTTTGTTCTTTTTAAAGTTAAAGATATAAGCGATAAAATAGAATCTAGTTTTATACTTTTACAATAGAGATTTTACCTATTCATTAAGTTTTATTAGAAAAGTTTGATTTTTAATTGATTTTCATATGGAAACCTTACATTTAAATATAGTTCAAAAGGATATCCCAGTTAATGTTGAGTAACTGTATCTCTTTTTAAAATCCATTTATTTTAATAATATGAACTTTTGCTAAGTTTTTAATCAAAAATTTTTCATTATCTTTAATGAACAGGCAGAACGTATATGTAACTATATATAATTACATATATATACAGTTTATTAGTTTGAAATCAATTTGAAATGAAATTCATATAATTCATATAATATTTATATAATGATGACAAGACACATGCCTTTGTTAAGGGCTGCCTCCTCTTGTATTGTTAAGCTGACCGTTTGGTGTAGACAATATTTTCTCTCACCATTACAGTGCTTCAATTTATATTGTGCCGACACGTCTTTTTAGTTGCTCATTTGATAACAATCAACCAATTATATATAGTACCTCCTCATAATAAGTTTAAATGTTTCTATAACTCAAGTAGGAGTACTCATTGAGTATTTTAAGACCAAGACATGTATATGTTACACTCAATCTCCGAATTCGGACAATGTCCGAAATTTCTACCCACTCCGCGATGTGGAAAGTGCGAAATACCCACGTCGCGGAGTGAGCATTTTATTCGGACATTGGCCGAAGTGAAATGCCCAGACCGCGATGTGGGTAAATTGATTTACTCAAATGCCGAAGTCAAAACGTTCTTCTCTGAAAAATACCCACAACGCGATGTGAGCAAGAGGGATTGCCCACGTCGGGTTGTGGGTATTTCTAGTTTGCGCAAACGCCGAATTCACGTTCAGACATGTCACCCCCACCATTTGCACTATTTGCGATTAGGATGGACGGATCTGCATTATGTTTTAGTTTCTGCTGACCTGTAGTTGATACGCATGTGTTCAAGATAATATATGTTCAGTGATTACCTCTTGTGAGATATTGTTTTGTGATGTTATGTGAAATGAAGGATTCATTCAACACTAAACCGGAGGAGCTGATGTCAAAGAAGGATGGCCTTACAAGTCGCAATTTCTTAATTGAAGAACAAAGATATGAAGAAATCATTGGTGAAGTTAAGGAGGCGAAAGATAAGAGGAGAAATGGACAGTCATTATCATCGAAAGATTATCGCCGAATCAACCGCTTCGATGTCATAAACATTGGTGACAAAGAAATGTTAATTGAAAAAACAACTGGTGAAATGACAGATATAAAATATTTTTGTCGCATTGATCAAATGTATGACACAATTCATTCAGCTCACTTATGTGTCGGTCATAAGAAAGAGAAAGCCATGGAAGTAGAGCTTAAAAAGAAATTTTGCAACATTACCAGAGAGGTGATTAAAATATACTTGGATATGTGCGAACCTTGCTCACTGAAGAAAAAATCTCAAAGTAAAGGACTGGTCGTCAAACCCATCATTACGACAGCATTGAATTCACGATGTCAGGTAAGATTAATTTAATTTTTTAATCCTTTTGCTTAATTAGAGTGACTTTAGAATAATGCTCGAGCTCATGGAATGTTTAGCGAATTGTTTTACAGTATGTCTTAATCTCAATAACAAATTTATCAAAACTGGCAACGTACTAAGTCTTTTATCACCCGCGGGGTAGTTGCGATTTGGGGGTCGGTGGTCGGTTATGGGTGGGGAGGGGGGTGGTTGTGTGGACGGGAGTGTAGCGGGTCACTATCTTCTACACGCCACACCGACACGACACTACTAAAGACTGGACTCCGCACCAATGCACGCGCAGCGGCAAACTTCTCTACCTATGGATGTAGGCTAGAGCCGCACATATCGATCTAAAATGCTCTTCATATTTAGATTATCGCTTGTCTTTGGGGGACGACCAGAACGATTAATCCTTACGAAACAATTTTCGATTTTAGATAAATATAGGCCTAGAATTTTTTATTTATAAACCTAGTTCATAATATTATCATTATATTGATATAACATAATAATATTATGTGTATTATTTTACTGACAAGTAATTGTTGTACTGTATAAGTTACAGTGAAATTATCTATATTTTGATTGGATTTTTTTTATATTACAATTAACAAATACCCCCACCGCAGCAAACTTGCAGACTATACAAATTTCCATTTACCAGTATTGGATTTTAAATTTAACCTATTTAAATAAAATTTGTTTCAACTACCTATGTTTGCTGCTATATAAGTGTAATATAATGTGTTTGTAGTGAAATATGAATAGCTTAGTATAAAATAAATTAATTTGCCAAGATTGATCAAAATATATCCAAAAACAAGCAAACTACAACAGTATACTAAATTCTTCATAAGAATAATATGGAAACTTTGAATTTTCAATTTATTAAATTTCCTCAGTAACCAATAACCGCACAAAACATAAAACCGTAGATAAAAAAGAATTAAATAGTAAAACTGAAAGAGGACTGTTACAAACTAATGCATGTCTTATTTCTGATTTAAGGTGGATCTCATTGACATGCAATCAGAGCCTGACGGTGAATATAAGTTCATCCTTAATTATCAAGATCATCTCACCAAATTTGTTGTTTTGCGTCCCTTGAAAACGAAAACCGCTGACGAAGTATCCGACGTCCTTCTGGACATATTCTGTTTATTTGGGGCTCCATACATTCTACACAGCGACAATGGGCGGGAATTTTGCAACCGGGTGAGTAAAACAAAACAAAGTGCTAACAACATCTATGAATAATATCTTGGTCAGCATCGTACGTGTTATTAAATCATCTGAAAAACAAACAAATTATACGTCTTATGATTCAACAGTATAAGTGTTAATATATTATTAGGCCTACTAGTGTTATTAGACGTATATTTTTTTTCAAATAATACCTTATAAAATAATTAAAACTAGCTTCTTCCCCGTCTGATGACATGGCGTTCCACCTGTTTGGTTCAAAATCGTCGTACTGAAAAAAATAATTTAATTTTTATCATTTCAGGTTTTTAATGTCAAAACAAGTTTCAAAAATCTGTAAATAAAATAAACAAAAGTAATTTGTCATTCCGGCTATCTATTGTGATGGTTTATAATATCATAATATTGTGTTGGCTTCAATCATATAATCAAGGGGGTTAATTAGAAATGGTTCGGTTTTTCAGGTAATCGAGAACCTAGCCCGTAAATGGAGTGCCATTAAACTAGTACACGGAAAACCAAGACACTCACAGAGCCAAGGGTCTGTCGAACGAGCCAATCAAGACGTAAGAGATAGTCTTGTTGCTTGGATGGCTGACAACAACACCTCTGGCTGGGCAAATGGCCTCAAGATCATACAAAATACTAAGAACAACAGTTAACACAGGGGTATTAAGAGAAACCCGTTCAGCGCACCTCAGAGAAATGGACTAATAGATTCTCCTTTGACATCAGAAGTCGTGAAGATAATAACAACCGAGGAAGAACTTGAATATGAGCTCTCTAAGCTAGAAAGCAGTTTGATTGAAGTAGAGAACGAAAAGGAAACTCCTATGGATGAAACTACACCAGAAGTCTGGCCAACGATCGTAAACAACAACAAACATGGAGAACAAGAATCTACGTCAATCGAAATAATTTCACAATGTGACAATGATTGCGACAAAGGAAGCAACTGTTTTGAATGTGGGCAGCACATCCATAATGAAGACGTGGATAGGGAACAGTTAGACTTACCTTTGTGCACTCTCTGCTCAAGAAAAGCCGCCATTGATACTACACGGGAAAAGTGTGTAACGTCTCAAACTATCCAGGCAGAAAAAATGTTAAAGACAACAGAAAAAAAACTAACCCCAGTTGCGGTTGGAGACAACGTATTGGTGAACATTCCTGACGTCGACCGGGGACGACTAGCTCCTAGAAATGTAATGGCAGTTGTTGTAAATAAGGCCAATGATTACTACACTCTTGGCACAAGGCATGGGGTTATGGACAAACAGTTTGCGAGAAACCAATTTCAGGTGGCACCAAATAAATTTCTTCGCCCCGAGGATGTACCCGATGACCAAGTTAACGTAAGAAAAGAAGCGATGATGTCATCTGGATCCAAACAAGGTTTCATAAGATGTGGTTGCAAAAAGAACTGTTTGACTAAATCATGTAAATGTATAAAGTTAAACGTGAAATGCAATTCCAAATGCCATGGCAGCACCTCTTGTGCCAATAAGTAAAAAAAAAAAAAAAAAAAAAAAAAAAAACTGTAACAAGAACTGTGTAATAATGGGCATTTTAAGGTTACTTCTATTTTTGTAAAGCGGAAAAACATTTCAATGTATGTGTAATGGGCCTTTTTATATTTCTTCCTATTCAGTAATTTGCAGTTTTCTTGTATTTTCTAAAATGTTATTTTACATTAAAAAATAATCACAAACATAAATTGTATTTATTTTACATTGTGGATTTTATGTAGGTAGATTTTTTGGTATACGGTAGTTTATACAGGCTATTCGGCGTTTGCGCAAACTAGAAATACCCACAACCCGACGTGGGCAATAACATTTGCTCACATCGCGTTGTGGGTATTTTGGATTTACTCAATTGCCGAAGAAGGTTTTGACTTCGGCGTTTGAGTAAATCAGTTTACCCACAACGCGGTCTGGGCATTTCATTTCGGCCAATGTCCGAAATAAAATGCTCACTCCGCGACGTGGGTATTTCACACTATCCACATCGCGGAGTGGGTAGAAATTTCGGACATTGTCCGAATTCGGAGATTGAGTGTAACATATATAATAACTACCATACAAATGGAGTTAGTTGTCATTGAGTTCATATAAGTCCTAATATAACCATAATTATTGTTTATTCGTGCATCAGCTACGCCCGATTATAATAATCAATAGCTCAAATGAAAGCTGGTATTTCACTGAAGGTTCTTGGATCAAAACATATAGGATAATAGAACTGGTGAAATCCATCTTTCATTGAAGTAAGAATTCGAAATTTTGGTCAGTAGGTAAATGAATGATGATGCATAATGGCGAATCTGTGCGTTCATAACTTTAATTTGAGGCCAAAATTATGAAAACCGGACGGGTATTAAAGCCGACCTGACTCGTAAGAAAATCCTAGTTTTTGTGCGAATTTCCCAATAAGGAAAATAGCTATTACCGTAGGCGGCACGGTGAGACCTGGAGCCGAGACCGATATACCTTTTTCATTTCGATGTGCCTAGAGACCAAAAACACTATTTTTTCAAATTTATATATATATTTGTAATTATTAAACATAATAAATTTGTATATATATTGAACGCGATAACTATAGTAATCTTTATCCAATTTTCTTTGACGGTGTAAGGCGGGATAAACTTGAATGAGTTCGCGAACCAGCATGATCGGACTGTGGGAACAGGGTTTTAAGGGGGGTTTTATGGGGAAAAAATTGGGTTTTCTCATTTTCCCTCCTCAAAACACAACATTTCCCAAATTCTCTCTAGACCATAATAAAGATCGTAAAAGAATTTTTAGTATACCAAGAAGTGTTTTTTACGGTTATTGGTTACAGAGAAAAACCAAAATATTTAAAATTAAAAATTCTCATGTTATTCTTATGGAGAATGAGAATATTGTAGAATGTTGTAGTTTGCTTGTTTATAGAAATATGCTGATCAAACTTGTCAAATTTATTTATTTAAGCCACTAATATTTTACTTAAAAACACACATGTTATTAACCTCCCTGTAGCAGCAAACCTAGGTACTAGTTAAACCTAATGTTATTTAAATAGATTTAATTTAAATTCAATTCAGGCAAATGGAAATTCGCTTAGTCTGCAGGTTTGCTGCGGCGGGGGTATTTAATATATAGATTCCACACTACCAACTCAACTAACTATAACCGTCTGCCCATAATGACAATGTCCCATTTTACATTTAATGAGGTTTTAATTTAATGAGAGTAATGAGGGGGCAAAATGAGAAGTTTGTGTAGGTGTAATATTTCGTAATTTTGTATTTAAATGCAATTACTAGTAGTTGCAGCTTTGGGTGGTTTTCAAACTAGCTCATTGCGCAGGAGACAAAATAATCTCACTTGATTTGTCGTGTTTGCAGCATTGCAGTATGTACGTTACTTTTTAATTAAAAAATAAATCCTGCTAATACTATTTTATTTAAATAACATCTTGTGTTTCATGCACTATTTTTGTAGTCAACGTTGTTTAGCTACAATTAATGTATTTGTAAATTCCTCAGCAAAATAAATTTTTTTTTATGTTGTATTAATGCGTAAAATTATTGTTTTCTAGGACATTTAATATAATAAAACATTATTTTTCAGGAGTAATTGCAGTATTTCTCTTTCGGAAACTCAAAGTTTACAGAGTTTCTTTTACAAAATTGCCTCGTGACCTTATCGCCTACCCATTAGAAACTAATTAAAGTTTGTGTTATTCAACTAACTTTACCATTACGAAACAATAAATGGTTAAATATTGATTGTTCAAAGTGGATTCTTTTAGTAGTTTAATTTCCCATGGATGTTTTACAAGCTTTTTGTATACATTAAATGAGCTGCGCACGTTAGTTATATAATAGTCGTTCTGAAAATAAATTGTTGTTTTTCCAATTACAAATAAAACCGCAGCTTTTTGATTGTTTTAAATAAGCAAAGTAGTCTCTTGTCGGTTTTCGAATTGTATAATAATTATAATTTATATTTTTCTGGCTGAAAGACCGTCTGATTTTAGTCATTAACAAGACTATAGGTCAATCTGAACTTTTATATTCAAACCTTCCACAAAAATAACGCTTTAATTTTAACTTTAAGAATCTTAACAGCTGGTTCAACCAAACAATTTGATTCTGTGATGTTAAATAGCTTTAAAAAGTTAATAGGTTTACCAACAGGGTGCATCACTGTAATTTTTTTTAATTTATGAAAGGTGAGTGAGCGTAGCGAACGAACTTCAACCTGGAGGTGAGTTAGCATAGCGAACGAACTAACCTGAAGGCAAGTGAGCGCAGCGAACGAGCTCCAACCTAAAGGTGAGTGAGCGTAGCGAACGAGCTCCAACCTAAAGGTGAGTGAGCAAAGCGAACGAACTTCAACCAGGACGTGATTGAGCCATGCGAACGAGTTCATCTTGAAAATGCACGAGCATTTAACATAAATCCACATTAGGACAGGACGACGTCTGTCGGGCCAGCTAGTAGACAATAATAATTAAATATAGACCGTCAGCTGTGCTGCGGTTATCATAGGTTCTGGCGTACATCGCTGGGAGCACCATGTACTTACGGCGTACGCGCTACGTAACTACACAGCGCTCCCAGCGGTGTGCGCCACAACCTATGGTAACCATGGTAACCGCAGCATGGCTGAGATATTAATATTTAATTCTATTTGTCCAGGGTTTAATGTAGGATGGCCTCCCAGTAGACTGTTGTCACAGAGCATGGCAGAGCAGAGTGAGTTCATGTAATTCAAAAATGTATATAATTCACCGTCCAATTATACTTTTCATGTTTACTAGGTGAAACTCATCGAAATCACCGTTCACTGTTGAGGTTTCAGGCAAAATAAGATAACTATCAATGGATGATAAATAGCTCCATTTTTGGAGCAATTAATTTGTTGTTCGTGATTCAGTAGCCTGCTTTAGGCACGTCCGATCTTAGTAATCAATAACTCAAATGCTGGTATTTCGCTGAAGGTTCTTAGACCAAAACATATAGGATAACGTAATTAGAATGGAGTATAGATACAAGTATCTAAAATTAAATTTCACATCCGAGAAATAATCAAATTTATGTTCCTTTTTATTCAATAATACATCATGATCTTAACTTATTCAAACGACCAATATCTCAAATGAAAGTCTTTGCGTCTAGGAAAATTTAAAGACCAAGACATATAAAATAACTAAAATAAAATTGAGTTATGTATCATTGATACATACATAATTGATACAGGAATGATGATCAAGTCCAACAAAATTATAATTGTTGTTGATTCGTAATGCGGCAGCGTGCTTCAGGTACGTCCGATTTTGATAATCAATAGCTCAAATGAAAGCTGGCATTTCACTGAAGGGTCTTAGACCAAAACATATATAATAATATAACTAGATCTGTTCAAACGTATTATTAATTCAAGTAAGAATTCTAAAAAATAATGTTTTGTGGTTGAGTAATACTGTGAATAAATTAATGATGATGTTTGATGGCAAAAATGTGTGTGCATACCTTTAATTTAGGACCAAAATTATGGAAATTGGTTGGGTAGAAGAGCCAAACTAACTCGGAAAAGTAAAACCAATATTTTTTTATAAACGAATGTCGTTGCTTGGTGGTAGATCTGTGCGTGTTTAATTTAAGACC